TAGTTTTCCAAGGTCATTCATGGAGGCTTATGAGTGATTCCTAAAGGCAAAACAATTACCAAGAAGATGGAGATTCATAAAGAAGGCATCTTGCTAAGGGATATACAATAAGTGAGAACATTCACTTTAGAGGAAAGATCTAAGGTTTACTCAAACCTTGATGTAAGTATTCAATCTTTTAATTGAATGATACATCATGTTTTATTTTTGCACAAAACTTGTCTCTATGTAATGAATCAAGATCTATGAAGTTAAATCCCTCAAAAAGTTTTAAAAACTAGTACGTTTCCCAACTATGGCTCACCACATTCAACCACGTGGATGAAGGTCCTTAAACTCAGATTATTCAACCAACGAACGGAGGTCCTTAAGCTAAAATCAGTCATCCACAACTCACAACTCAAATCCGAGTCATTCACGACTCATATCATACGGTTGGAGGACTTTAAACTCACCATAACTAAACTATGTTCGACTTGATTTCTTTCAAAAGGATACCCTAAGTTCAGTCTGGTCCCCCTTCATTCCCACCATATTACACTTTCAAGCATGCACCTCATCAATCATAGCACAATCATATGAATGGAAAATGGAATGTTAGCACAAGGAACCGGTAACCGTACTTGGTATTGGCGACTCCTTAATCTCTAATTTAGCCTTATCAATCAATCACCACATCCAAAATTCAACCCTATCACATAAAAACATCTGGCACGACTGCTAACCTCCAAAACCGAATTCCTTGTTGGACAAGTATTTTTCAACATGCCTACAAAGAGTTACCATATCCGTCTTCAACTCTAAAATAACACGTACAACTTATTCCCCAAATCTTCATACTTTTTCCTAAGTCTTCTAATTTCCAAAACTGATTAGGAAACTATTTCTTGGAGCTTCCAATAAGTCATTGTCCAAGTTGAACTGGTTTAACTTTGGCAGTAGCCAAAAGTCGACACTTGAACCGGTTTAAAGCCACCGAATTGGTTCAACACACCAAAATCAGCCACTTTGAGCATTACGTGATCAGGCTATGTCTTCGCGTGCTTCACCATAGTTCCACCTCGAACAAAAATCTTTTCATAGCTCCACCTTAACTGAAGATTTCGCCACCTTGAACAAAACATCATGATGAAATTGAGAAATACTCTAACATAAAAAACACGGTTAATCTTGCATCGCTGCAAAAGATCCTTCCTCCATTCCAATTCTAGTAGCTCAAATATAACGCAAGTTTTTATTCTTTTCACTTTTCAGTTATAAAGCACCAGACCAACCCTAGACAAAATTAAAACTAAAAACACACAAAGGTTGGTGATATCTTTTATTGGACATATTACGAACTTGAATTTGGTGTGAATTGAAGGATTTATTTTTATCTCATGCGTGCAAATTCTGACTTTGGTGTCTCTTTTAGGTCATAACCATGGTTGTTAAAATCCCAATCCGGATCATGTAATCTTTCGATCCTATGTTCTGAAGTTGCTGTAGTGATCTTGATCACATAAAAATTGTTGGGAAGTAGAATTGTAGTAGCATCAGTTAAATTGTAGAATCACATAGGATCGCACGTTCCTACAAACAAAAGTGTGGTGTTTTGCTCTTTTGGATTTATTTGGGCCTATAATCCTTTCTTGGCAAACAAATTTAATAATTTTGTGTATAAATTCCAACTCTTTAGCATAATTACATTAAATAATAAAAATAAAAAAATAAATATCAAAGATTCAACGTCAAATGTTGAGATGACCCAACTTTGAATTTCAAGGATATGCCTCAAAACTTCAAAAAAAATCCTCTATATTGCCTTTTTTTTCTTAATTTTTCTTTTCTTCTTTCTTAACCATATCAAGAAGCAAAAAGAACCCTATTTTTCCCACCTATTTTTGTCCATTCTAAAACGAAAACTTAAAGGAATTTAATTTTTTTCCCAATATTTTTATCTCTACTTTGTTCATTTTTTGAACCAAAAAAAGAAACTAAATTGTACTCTCTGTTCCTTTTTTCTATTTGTGTTGGCTTTGCATTAATTTCTTTGGTCAGATTTTGATTGATTGTTATACGGATGTTTTGATGCTTTTGTGCAGAGGAAATCAAGAAATTGATAGTGTTTTACATGTGTTTAATGCTAATTGATTTTGTTAATACTTATCTGATGGAATAATCTTATTGGATTTTTTTAAAGAAATGGTTAATATTGTTGCTTAAAATTCATTATGCTACAATAATGAACTTAACCTGACTTCTACACATGACATATGGAGTGGTACCCTTCTGTCGGTGAAAATGTTTTAACCAGTATTTTAAAGCATCTTTCAACTATGTTAGGTTACTCTATGCTGTCATTAAGATCTTAATTACATAAAACTGGTATTACTCAGGATTTACATAAGATGAAATTTTCTCTTGCACAAGGTCACTCTAATGTAACGATTTGTTTTGCATTGGAGGCTAGACGGTGTTTTTTTTTTTTTTCGTAGGCTGCTAATTTTGGCTAGCATGAATGCTTGCTGGTTTCTTCAAGTTCTAACAGCCTCTCAATCTAAAATCACACTGGGGTTTGAAACCATCACTGTAATCTAACACCTGATGCAAAGGTGTGGATTTCTCCAAAAGTACCGGGAGATAGAATTTACCCAACGATTCACCATTGAGGTCACTTTCCACAAGGATATTCCTTGCAAGAAGATGTCTTTCATCTTTACACTAAGATTACCAATAAAACAGCCTGCCAAGATCAACTTTTACCTAGCTCAAAAATAAGAAATTACTTATAAAAGGAGAACAAGGTCTAAGGATTAAACGAAATTGATCCCAACTTGAGTATTCATTCAAATATGTGGTTTAAAGTCGGAGCTTCATATTACTATAGTCCCCTGCTACAGGTAATAATAATTGTAGTATTGAAAATCTTAATAAGGGGAAGAATATGGACTTCTCCCAACGATGTCGCAATTATGCCACTAAAAACATGTGTCTCAGTGTGTCTAACATGGTGAAAATGTTTTCAGAATTGTCCTCTTACGTGGTACACAATATGTTGTACACCCCTGCTCTAGTTGATGCTCTGTCATCCTACTTTTAAGGGTATGAGATGTTGGATAAACAAGTGATTATTTGAAATTTCTAGAATTTATTGGTTACAAATAATTTTCTCTATCTTATTAATCTTTTCATTTTGTTCTTATTCTGATTCCTTGGGTATGTATCCTTAATTGTGTGTATAATTTGATTTGTAGGCTGCTAATATTGTTTCCTCAAACATACAGCCTCTTCTGAATCCAGCCGTACCGGTGAGTTAGTTAACAGCGGCAGTTCCTCCTTTAGGGCTACCTTTTCATTACTGAAATTCAGATAATAATATCATGACATAATCTGAGCGATGTTGTCTCTGTACATTTTTCATGCTCTAACATTTACAGAAGTATATAGAGGAAAAAGTTAATGCCGATGAGAAGCTTGCTTGGGCTAAAAATCATATTGGAAAAGGGTTTGCAGGTAACCTTTCACTGCATTTCTATCATTAAGTTGTGTCTGGTCCGCCTGTAGTTACAGAAACACCCACAGAATCATCTCTCTCTCTCTCTCTCTCTCTCTATATATATATATATATATATATACATGTATGTATATTTAAGTATAACCTTCCTGCATAATCAGCAGAAACCCTTTTTCATATTAGTTACCATATCTAGTTTAATAGTATTCTAAAGTGAAAAGGTGGAACTTGTCTAAACTTGACCTGTGTTAAAACCACCAATCAGCAAAACCATTTTTTTTTTTTTTTTTTTTTTCGGCTTATAGTTATGATGAAACTATTAAAAGACTATTCTGGAAAATATGCCTCTGGAGACGAAGTTTTCCTGGTTTGTTTCTTCTCTGGCATCTTTTTCTAATCCTATACATACACACACACACATATACTTGTGCTATCTATACACTTGAGAAGGCGTATGCATATTTCCTTTTTTAAGGCTTCAACTGGAAGTGGAGCTTGTAGAATCTTCCTTAGGGTGGTGGGAGGAATGAGGTGGGTTGTGGCATAGATACTAATAATCAAGTGTTGAAATATGACGCTGAACCGGCAGTGTAAACAGTACAGACTTAAGGACCTCAGCCTGCATAATTATAGAGCTTTAAATTATTGAACAAAAATTGGTACCGTGCTGACCATGTAAGCTTTTGGAGTCCATTGCCTATCATACTTGCGCCAAAGCATGTGACAGCATGGTCTTGGCAAGTTTCAAAATCTGGAACGGACTGGTTGTGAAGACACATTGGTGTTGGGTGTTTGAAGGGTTTAATTCTGTGGTTCCATATGCTTTTGGAGCTCTTACGGAAGGTGTCCTAAGCATGTGGGGCAAAGAAGATTTGTGACACAATAGGGTTCTATTCTGTGCTCCTGCTTGTTTTTGGAATGTAGAATGACTGCAACTTTTAAGTGGGTTCACCCCAATAGTGAGCCAAAAGAGACTGCACTCGTGAAGAATTCAGAGTGTTCATTCTAGACCAAGTCCCTTAGGTTGTGTGTGGTACTCTCAGAAAACATGTAAGCCTAGGTATCATATTATGTTTGCATTAGTAATTATGGCCATCTCAGCTATACAGCTTTGATCAGAGTTACATGTGGCAAAGCACGCTGGAATATCAACCCCAATTAAATGCTGAACAAGTGTTTGCTAATTACTTTTGTGATGCATATATTGTTTCCTAAAATATATTATTGGCTATAATTTTCAGGCAGATTTGTTTCTAGCACCTCAGATTCATGGATCAATCAACAGGTTCAACATCGACATGGTAGTGCTCACTCAGTTGTTCACAATTCAGACAATTTATTCTGGCTAATCAGGTTTAACAGCTTTAGCTTGTGTCACAAGATCCGCCGACTTGAAAAAGAACCAAACAGACACTGGCTGAGCAAGCCTCACGTTTTCTTATCAAAGGGGAGGCAAAAATAGTTTTGATTCTCATAAATGATGCCATATAAAAGGCTCAAGGACTTGAAAAATGAACATGGTGACCGCTGCATTAAATTAGTTTGGAATGTTGTAACAAATACCATGATATACAAAAGAGCTGTGAGCATTTGTGGTAGTATAGAAATCAGCATACTCACTAATAGAACTTGCTCACTCAATTGTCTTTCAGATCATTCAAGGTGCGCTTCTCTATCAGGCTTGCTCCTCTTATTCGGTCTCGTATTAGGTTTACTGCTCTTATTTGGTCTCATATTAGCAGCAGTAATTAGTCGATAATCAGAGTGGGCCATTTCGCTGAGCTTTCCAAACTTTTCCTCATAGAAGTTCCATATTTCTGACCTGATCAAAGAGAAAATCCAGCATGAAAACTTGTTTCCTCATAATACCGGGGAAAAAATTGATCATCAGAGTTGTTGCATAATACCAGTATACCAAGAACTGAAACGGCGCGTACTTCCCATAAATTGCTTCGACATCTCTCTGAACTGTTTGATTGGTGCAATTTCTTGCATGGACCTGTAACAACACTCAAAATATCAGCATATTTCCTAAAGTAGATAATCCATGAGTCAGCACAGAAAAGAAATTAAAAGAAATAAAACCTGTTTCAAATGCCTAATAGTTTCAGTATCAGCTGGAATCACATGGTAAAATCCCATGCACATAAGCACATTGGCACGCGTAAAAGGACCAAATCCATTAATTTCTTTCAGCTGCTCAGTCAGCTCATTGTAAATGGATAAGCTTGGTTTGTCACAAGCTTCTTCAAGTTGTCTAAGTTGAATTCTACCTTCAACAACACTCTGAGCAAGATTCAATATCCAGCTTGCTCTGTAGCCAAGATTGCAGCGCTTTTGTAAAAACTTTTCATCGAGGCTAGCTAATTCTCTTGGGCTAGGAAAATTTCCAATCATATTGTAGGAGTAATGTTCCGTCTCTTTTGAAGACTGGAGATCAGAAGATGAAAATGAATCAGCCTTCCGATTCTTAGCTGATGTATGACATGAGTTGCACTGCTCATTTAAGTTGTCTTCCTCTTTGATTGACGAGGTGAAGTTCGTGCTTAGTTTCTCCGTCCCTTGCAAGGACTCTGACATTTCAACACAATCTATCGTTGCATCATCTTCTGCTTCTGTTTCTATATTGGCCTCCAGAAACCGGGTTGCTAAATTGGTCTTACTCTTGTGCCCTTTAAGCTTTCTCTTTGATTCTTTTCCTGCAGGTGTCTTTGGAATGAAACGCTCAGTCTTAGCTGCTGTTTGACTTCTAGAATTTGCACCGTCACCAGCTTCACAAACCAATACATTAAATGAAGGATGCTGCAGTTCCAACTGAAGCTCACAAAGCGCTCTGGCCATGCTCAAAGTCCTTGACCACCTACAAAACTGAAGCAGGTTAACTCACATGTGGAAACATTAGGTTATAACGTTTTTTGGGCACATTAAGTTATAATCTTTTCCACGGGTTGTTCTTTGGACCATCATGGTCGAATAGTCAGCAGTTTCATGTTAAAAATTCCATCATTAACCAGAGCTAGGATGATCACAGCCTTATGCGGAAAAAAAGTTGTACAAGACCAAACACTAGTTTCTCCCCATTCATCTACTGAAGATAACACCAAGTTACCAACAATATCCAAAACTCAAAAGCACACAATTTAGTTTCTGCATACCCCCATCAACCACCAAAATTGCAATGTGGTCACAATAACCAGGACACAGAAATCACATTTGCAAGATTCAGCATATACAAAAGGAGAATTCTATAACATTTTCTGCCTCAAATTAGTATGTCTAATGAAGGGCTAGCCCAATGCATGATGCTCGCAGCCATACCTCCGCATGGAGAGACTGTTTCCGGTGTCAGTCCTATCATGTCTAGTACTACACACAAAAAGTGAGGACAATGCCAAATGAGGTATTTTGTTTACATATATTTCACAGGCATAGCTAGTGACAGTGCAAAGTAGTTGAAGAACTGTTATAATGATAAAGGCAAGTTGAGACAAGCTCAGTTATGGTGATACACTCGCATACAAACAACATATTCAGTGAATGATTCCACCCCACCAATCAACAGTTGATTATTAAAAAACACCAAATTTTCTCTTTTATACAATTATTCCATAACCCAGCTTTCCTTTTGTTTACTTTACATCAAGACTTTGGGTTTTCAACATTTGCACATTAACACAAACACTTGATAAGCAAAGCAGTGTCTATGAAAATTTCACAAATGAAAGAATGTGCAGTTATACATATATATAGAGAGAGAGAGAGGGAGAGAGAGATCTCACTGGCAGTTGCAGAAAAGGATGCACTTAACCATGTCCTCGAACAGAGTAGGAGACCTAAAAACTCTCCCAACAACCCTCTCCTTCGCTTCTCCGCCGTACATCTTCTGAAACTCCCTCGCATTCCTCTCCTCGTATTCCGACAGTCGCAGCATTCGCCTAACCTGACTCTGCAATCCGAACCCATCAAATCAACAACAAGAGAGAGATGGGGTTTAGAGAGAGAAAGAGAAAGGGGGGTTTGAAGCATTCATTCAGTACCAGCAACGATTGTTGGCGCTGAGGAGAGAGAAACTCCGTGCCGAAAACTCGAATGTGGAGAGAGAGAGGAGTGTCAGAGGGATGAGAGATGCGAACGAGGAGCGAAGATACGGAGACTTCTTCACCATTGTCATCGCAATCGAAGCGTAGTGGGCGTTGGAGGGTTTTGGTGAGTGGGTCCCAGAAATTGGGGGCCATCATGAACAATCCGTGGCTGCATACGGCGCTTTCCAGATCGAAATTGGCCGCGGCCTCCCCAAGTGGCAGCTCCACCACGACGCTGCGATGGTCTCCGCCTCCGTCTCCGGCGGCTCTTCGTTTATCCTCCTCTTTCAACGAGTCCATTCCCTTCTACAAAGCAAATAATTGAAACACCAATCTGCAATAGCCGGTTTAAGTTAATATATTTTTTTGCAAAGAAATATGAATCCATGATGAATTGGCTAGGGTTATTTGTGGGTGGTTTTGTATCGATGGGTGGATATACAGTATTACGTAATTGTTTTGAGTTTTTGTTGTTTGGAGAAGCGTTCACCTATTAAGATTAATATTAAAAGTAGACTCAATTTTTTATTCAGTGCCACATAAGCCCTTGTTTCGGAAGACGTCTTGGTTTGCAATCGTGATAAATAGGGTGACCCAAACTATAACGAAGGCTTTACGAATTTTGATAAAAGAAAATATAATAAAAGGTTACGAGTTTGAGTGGAAAAGAATGTAATAAAAATTTGTTTCGTATCAAATTCAAATAAGTATGCAACAATAATAACTGTTTGAGTTTTTTAATAAATGAATAACTATCCACCTATTACACTAGCCATTATAAATTTTTGGTATAATTTTGTAAGCAATTGAATTCAAATAAAAACAGTAAGTTTCAAAACAATTTTAATATTATAATAAAATATTAAGTAATAATACAAAAATCAATTAATTCTTGTTCTTAATAGAATTCCAAATTTTTACAGGGATCAACAATTATATCATTTTACTAAAAATTTCGCAACAATTATCATAAATTTTGTTTAACTTTATGACTAAAAAAAAAAAAATTAAATATCAATTTATAGATATTTTTTAAACTAAATGAACCAGAGAAGGGAAATATGTATGTTTTAACATGCATACTCTCAAGCTCATTACTGAATACTCTCAAGCTCATTACTGATTGGTCTCGGTGGATCATTATTTGTTACATAAATAAATATATTAATTTTGTGTTTAATGTTTATAGGTCGAAGTTATACCGACTAGGGCCACTATCTCTTTTATCTCTAATGGGGTCTCTTGCGCGTGTATAAGGATATTTTAATAAAATATTAAAATAATCAGTTCGTTTGTGGAATTTAATTTGTAACTTTTGATAAATTGAATGTATGAATTGTAAAGAAAAGAGAAAAAAAAAAAAAAAAAAAAAATAGGTATTTAGACTTTTAGTGTAGAAATAAATAAATAGTAGAGAGATATTTTACATTTATTTTTTTGGGTAAAGTACATAGACACTCCCTGAAGTTTGGACAAAGGACAAGCAGAAGAAAGTTGGCCTGTTTTTGGACAAACACACCCCCTTGTGAAATTTGCCCTCCAAACATAGCCTTAAATCATGTGAAAAGTCCACTTTACCCTTAACTATTTTATTAATTTTAATTATAAAATATTAAAAACATAAATGACCAAATTACCCTTTTTCATCTCTCTCTATATATAAGTATATATATATATATATATATATATATATATATATATATATATACACACACACACACCAACAATCCTTCACCACCGCCCCCAATCTCCATAATCACCAACCCCCAACCTCCATAATCACCACCCCCTAAAGAAGACGCCGAATAGGAGCTCTGCCACCACCACCTCCTCGAACTCGCCGGAGCTCAGCCTCGGTTCGGGTGACCAACTCAGCCTCGGACAAATCGGGTTTGACCGGGATTGACAGAGACGTTCCCCACGCTAGCGTTTTTCATTCTTGACAACGGCAGAGAGTTGATTTTGAGCCTGCCATACAGCGAAGATTTGAGGATTAGATCGGTGCTGCCGCCGCCACCACCACCCTCTTCCCCTCTCTCTCTATACACACGCGCGCACGCGCGCACATATATATCACCCATCTGCACACATCACCATCCCCAGTTCTCATCTGCGCACGGAAAGGGCTCTAATCAGACAGCAGAGGCGATGGCCACTTCAGCCTCCTCGGTCTTGCAGGTGACGATCGCCGGACTATGTTTAACCTTGTCGTCATCGGAGCTTGGTCCTCGCCGAATTGTTTCTGCTCGTCGGTCTCTTGTTACTCGGTTTTTAAACCTCGCCACATTGTTCAGTCCATGGCCGCATTGTCATCGGAGCTTGGTCCTCGCCGATAATTTCAGGGTTTCGTCGATGCTTTTGGGTTTCGCCACCACCATCGCAGTCATCGCCGCCACCCCCACTGTCGCAGCTGTAATACCCCGTAATTAATTAAAGAGTTTAGTGTATTTAAATTCAATTATGGGCGGATTCCTGTACCTATTATTGTGCATGCTTCATTGTTATATTAAGTTCATTTAATGGTGCATGTAAATTAATTGTGTATGTTAAAATAGTAAATTTATTCATTTAATTGTGCATGTATTATTATAATTAATTTTATTTGTTGATTATGTTTAATTAAGCAATATTAGTTAATTAGAATATTATATTTGTGTTATAAAGTATTATGATGATATAATATATTATTTTGTAATAACAATAATAATAATTATATTAGTTTAATAATAATAATAATAATATAATAATAATAATAATAAAAGTTTATTAATAATAATATTAGTAATAATAATAATAATAGTTATACTAATAATAATAATAGTATTAAACCAATGTCATGATGAAATTAGAGATTAGGATAGGATGGCATCAATGTTTATGGGTGGAATTGAAGCCTTATGGTTGGGAGGATGGATAGTTGATGAAAAAATAAGATATTTGTAATATTTATATTATATATTTTGTATATAAATTAACTAGCTTGCCTTAGAAGAAAATAAAGGGAGTTAGAAGCAAGGTATAAATTCTAGAGAGCTATTTTATAAGAGTGAAAGGAAAAGAGAAAGAGAAAGAAGCTTGGACCGGTGTAGGCAATTTTACCCGACTACGCGCAGACCGGCGGATTTATTTTAAATCCAAAAAGGCAAGTTATTATCTACTTTTCCCCTTTGAATTAATAAATTAATTGTTTAGCTTATTTTTATGCATAGAGCCAAGGTTTGGAGGTTAATAAATTATTAATTTTATTTTATTAAATTAATGAAATTTTAATTATATAGGATGGTATATATTTATTTAATGTCCTATGAAATTAATAATGGCTAAAAATAATTAAATAAGACTTTAGGGATTTTTCTAGAATTTTCTAGATTTTTTCGGGGCTTTTCTGCAATTTCCGGCGACCTTCCGGCGAGTTTTCCGGTCGCCGGCAGTGGGGGAGATGACCGGAGTAATCCGGTGTGATACGGCGCACTATAGTTACTGTGCGCATGGATATCCGGCCGTTAGATGAGTAACTAATCAGCAGATTGATTCGGTGTAGTCCAATACACCATAAGATGGTGCACGCGCGAACCAGGACCCTTGGATTAGGAGAACTAAGATAGAATTATCCAGTGTAGTGCACCCACAACAAGTCCATGCAACCACCGAATCAGGAGCCGCCGCGTCAGCAAGGTACCATTAGTGCGTGCGTGGCAGCGCGTGCGCGCGCGTGGAACGCTCCAGACGCGCGTGGCTGATGCCAGACGCGCGTGGGAGAGTGGGAAAACTTGGCGGCGCGTGTGGGGAGCTCTGGGAGGCGCGTGGGGGCGCGTGAAGGGCCTCTGCGGCTGCTGGAAAGGTCCAGAATACCCCTAGGGACTGTTTTGTCATTACCAGGACCTTCACTATACATTTTGGGGCCTCGGGTTGGCATTTTTGGAATTAACGGGACATTATATTATTATTTTATTTCTCGTTAATTATTATAATTGTCCGATTAATATTTCTAAATATTAATTGTATCAGTTAAAGTGCGAATCGCTAGTAAACATATGTAATTGATTTAACGACTATTAATGGTATTATTTTAGTAAACTGTAATAACCATTAATGTTAAATTAATTAGTGCTTGGTTTTATTCATATAAATAACCCATTATATATTATGGAATATTTATACTGTTAATCGTATATAAACCATGATTATTATGCTGTGTGCATTTCAGGGAATAAATGGACTGTTTATTATGTCGCATTTATATTATATGGATGTGTTGCCATATAGAACCATGTGAGCTGACTAATAAGTTTAGACTCATTTATACCTTATGCATTCGTTGCGATAGACAGATGTGTGGCTGTCGGGGTATGTGGTTTAATATTATTGGCATGTGTTGCCTAATTGACATACTCGGTATATTTATTAATATTATTGGCATGTGTTGCCTAAATTGACATTCTCGGTATATTTATTAATATTGTTGGCATGTGTTGCCTAATTTATACGCTCAGTATATTCATCAGTACTTTGCGAGGTGTTATCACTGTGTAGTTCGTTATAGTCTGTGTTGTCAGTACCGTGCACCATGTATAATAGCTGATTTCCCGGGTAGGGAAAGGCGACACTTGACCACCTAGTGTGAGTCTAAGTGATCACCGTCTATTCTGGTTGAGGTCATGTTATACATCGGATAGTTCCCGTAGGATGTATACAGATATAGTACTCATCCGATTCATAATGATTAATTTATTTGATTCTCTGATTTGGGTCATAGTAGAGAGGACTTGCTCGTGGGGTTGACCCACCATTGTTGTTATTTCAGGATACGGTCAGTATCCGTTTCAAGGCTGAGGTTAGCAGTGTGGGACCATCATCCGAACTCATCTACTCTTACGATCCAGTGCAGGGTAGAAGTTTTATGTAATACTTCAGTTTCAGTTTTTAATTACTTTTGACGTTGAACTCTCAGGGTTATATTTAGGGATCCCTGACGTAGGATTTCCAAGTTGTAATGAAGTACTGTATGAAATAAAGGATGGATGGATGTTGTATTATTTAATGTTCCTTTCCTGTCTAAATTCTTTTATTTCCATCATTTTGTATTCCATGCTTGTATATTGCCAATTGTTTTTGATATCCCTCGTTTTTCGTGTATAAGCCTGATCAACTTATGCGGGGAAAATGTGGGGGTGTTACAGTTGGTATCAGAGCATTCCAGGTTCGAGTGTCTTAGGGATCTGTGATTACTATACTTCCGCGTTGTGTATTCTGATAATTAGAGCCTAAGTATTAGGGTTCTTTGTATTCTTTCAGTCGGTCCATTATAATGTACTGACGTTAGATTTTTCTGAATTTAAAGGAAGGATGTCTCGGCGTGGGACAAGGAATGCGAACCGTCATCGCAATATTTCCCCAACTCAAAATGAGAATCAGGAATTTTCTCCTCAAGTTGCTGATATCATTGCACGAGCTGTGGCAGCAGGAGTA